GCTTAGGGCATGGGTAATTCAAAGGAAACAGAGGGACAGCATAATGTAGATATGTCCGAATGGGAAATTTTTGTAAGGGACGTACGTAAGAGTTTTGGCCTGGAGTCTCTCTCTTCTTAGATATAAACGATTTAGTCAGGGAAATGAAAAGACAACTTTGCTGATGTCATCATATTGGGTAGGAAATAAATGTAGAAGACTCAAAATAGCTACCAAATAACTTTTGTGGTTTTTAAATTAAACAATAAATTGGCAAATGCTGCTTCATACTGACGAAAGTATGGTTTATAAACATTGCAAATTACACAGATTACCAGATATAAGCTAAAAAATATAAATTCAGAATAAGTAAGAAAAAGATCTGGGTGACAAGAATACTAAGAATCTTAAGCTAAGAAATGTATACATTTTCGAAATTATACAACCATGATTCAGGGATACAGCAAGAATCGTTAGTAGTGGATTCGCTGATGCTTACTCATTAGCTTCCTGTTGCATTGTCTGTACTCAGTTCTGTATATAAATGAATACGAGGGTATTATAGGAAACGTTTCACCCATCTGCCTACTTTCTCGACCCGTAGACAAAGTAGCCAGGTGAGAGGGAAAGGAGGGTTTAGAGAAAGAGTCTAGCAATTTTTGCACAAGTATTTTGTTACACCGTTTTTCACCGTCTAATCACCGCGTTTCACATTCCATTTGGCATAATAACAGTAAAATAACCTTTTTCTAAGGTATTAAAGATTCTATCATAATTAACAGATTACTTGTGCCGATAAGATGTCAAGAGAGAAGCACATTGTCAGTCAAGATAGGAGTGTGGGAGATATAAAAAGAGAGAGAAATACCGAAAAGATGAAGTAGAGATACAGGAAGAGAGAAATAGAGAGAGAGAGAAATGGTAAATACTAGAATCAACTCACCATGTACTATAAGAGCAAGAATACCACCAGCTTGCTCCCCCCGACTCCAAATGAAATTCCTTCCATTTCACAAATATGTCTATGTTTGCCCAATTTGAACCGCTCAGTCCTAATGTTCCAAATAAATAGGCACGACATATATTTTGAGGTACCCAACAATGCACAAAAAACAAAACTCAATTAATAGTTGCAAATTCTAGATGCAACCAGAGATCTGGCCCAGCAATACTGATATAATTGATTGAGCATAGCATAAGCATTTCACATCAAACACTCTTCCAATTACTAGGAGAAAGGTTATACCACCCTGCTGACCAAAGATAATACACGAGCTGGTTACATTGTTCTCTCGATAGGGTTACGTCCCCCCTACTACTTACATCACATCTACATGTACTAAATAGTTGTGTATTTACTTTCCCTCTGTATCTAATGATTCAAAGTCGAAACTTAGCATAACATGCTTTTGCGTAGGATCTGGCGCCTTCGAATCATAATCGAGTGTTTCCAGATACACATTTGTGAGCACTTCGAAAAGTTTGGACACGTTTCATTACAATTGATGCCTCTGTTTACCTAATAGTAATTAGTTTCCAGGGAGCTAGGCACCGATATGAGTTGAATCTTGGAAGAGCCAGTTAATGGCTTAGAGGGGTCTTTAAAAGCCTAAAATCATTGTTCTCGATAATGAAAAACGGGTGGATTCCTCAGTAGGTATTCTTCGCTTACGTTGCTGAAACGGAAACTGAGACATCCCCTTTGGCGGTAGGCTTAAATCCTGTCAACCGCTGGTGGGTTATTAGGGCCACCACAATACGATATTGACCAGCCAACATATTACTTAGTATACCGCAAATTATTCATTCAGTGTGTATACACAGATATGAAGTGCATCTTTCACTGAAGTTTTTCCTTTTGACAACCTAGCACAACATTTATCAGTTATACTGGAAATATTTGTATATTTTTTTGCCGCACTGAAGGAGCCGGTCGGCCGAGCGGACAGCACGCTGGGCTTGTGATCCTGTGGTCCTGGGTTCGATCCCAGGCGCCGGCGAGAAACAATGGGCAAAGTTTCTTTCACCCTATGCCCCTGTTACCTAGCAGTAAAATAGGTACCTGGGTGTTAGTCAGCTGTCACGGGCTGCTTCCTGGGGGTGGAGGCCTAGTCGAGGACCGGGCCGCGGGGACACTAAAGCCCCGAAATCATCTCAAGATAACCTCAAGATAACCTCAAGAAGGTGAAAGATAGAGCTTACTGTTCCACGCATAACTAAAGAATCAATAGGAAGGCTAAGCTTAACGTTCCATTCGCAATTCTCGAAGTTAACTAAAAAAAAGCTGCAAGTCGCGCATTAAGATTTAACTAATTGTAAACGATAGCAAGCAAGAATTTAAACTCGCAAAGTAAACTAAACGCTACTAGTTGTCTGGCGTCTGGACACAGACACAGGCAACTAATACATAATTCACGTGCAAGAAAAACTAATATAATGTTTGCTAATGTGGTTTTCAACGGCAGGCTAAAAAAAAATCCATAGCCTCTGTACCGAGAACAGGATTTTAGTACATGTTCAGGAATACATTATTTGTCTGTAATGTATGAGGATGATAAATATGTGAAATATAATACGACTTAGATAGGTCAGAGTTCTTGTTATCTGGAGATGATTTCGGGGCTTTAGTGTCCCCTCGGCCCGGTCCACGACCAGGCCTCCACCCCCAGGAAGCAGCCCGTCACAGCTGACTAACACCCAGGTACCTATTTTACTGCTAGGTAACAGAGGCATAGGGTGAAAGAAACTTTGCCCATTGTTTCTCGCCGGCGCCTGGGAACGAACCCAGGACCACAGGATCACAAGTCCAGCCTATTGTCTATTAAGGTTTCAAAGGAAATCTCTCTCGGCACTTATGAGGCGCCGCCGGTGGGTTAGTAGGCTGAGGTACAGGTCTGCCTCACATCACACCTCAGAAAACACTGAAGAGAACAGTTACCAGTAATATTTCACACTAGTCATTATGAATCCCTGATTAATCACAAGACTCAGGCATATTCTTTTTAAATAATTGTGAATATCCAGCACTACACTGCCTACGTCTGTCACCAGAATGGTGGTGGTACATCGTCTTGAAGTGTGCATTGCCGCTTACACAGTGAGTAACTGAAGCGTTGAGTGCCACCTACACAGTGCCAGAAGTATTGAGTGCCACCTACACAGTGCTAGAAGTATTGTGTTCCACGTACACAGTGTCAAAAGCATTGAGTGCCACCTACACAGTGCCAGAAGTATTGAGTGCCACGTACACAGTACCAGAAGTATTGAGTGCCACGTACACAGTGCCAGAAGTAATGAGTGCCACCTACACAGTGCCAGAAGTATTGAGTGCCACCTACACAGTGCCAGAAGTATTGAGTGCCACATACACAGTGCCAGAAGTATTGAGTGCCACTTATACAGTGTCAGAAGCATTGAGTGCCACCTATACAGTGCCAGAAGCATTGAGTGCCACCTATACAGTGCCAGAAGCATCTAGTGCCACCTACACAGTGCCAGAAGCATTGAGTGCCACCTACACAGTGCCAGAAGCATTGAGTGCCACCTATACAGTGCCAGAAGCATTGAGTGCCACCTATACAGTGCCAGAAGCAGAGTGCCACATATACAGTGCCAGAAGCATCTAGTGCCACCTACACAGTGCCAGAAGCATTGAGTGCCACCTATACAGTGCCAGAAGCATTGAGTGCCACCTATACAGTGCCTGAAGCATTGAGTGCCACCTATACAGTGCCAGAAGCATTGAGTGCCACCTATACAGTGCCAGAAGCATTGAGTGCCACCTATACAGTGCCAGAAGCATTGAGTGCCACCTATACAGTGCCTGAAGCATTGAGTGTCACCTATACAGTGCCTGAAGCATTGAGTGCCACCTATACAGTGCCAGAAGCATTGAGTGCCACCTATACAGTGCCTGAAGCATTGAGTGTCACCTATACAGTGCCTGAAGCATTGAGTGCCACCTATACAGTGCCAGAAGCATTGAGTGCCACCTATACAGTGCCAGAAGCATTGAGTGCCACCTATACAGTGCCAGAAGCATTGAGTGCCACCTATACAGTGCCAGAAGCATTGAGTGCCACCTATACAGTGCCAGAAGCATTGAGTGCCACCTATACAGTGCCAGAAGCATTGAGTGCCACCTATACAGTGCCAGAAGCATTGAGTGCCACCTATACAGTGCCAGAAGCATTGAGTGCCACCTATACAGTGCCAGAAGCATTGAGTGCCACCTATACAGTGCCAGAAGCATTGAGTGCCACCTATACAGTGCCAGAAGCATTGAGTGCCACCTATACAGTGCCAGAAGCATTGAGTGCCACCTATACAGTGCCAGAAGCATTGAGTGCCACCTATACAGTGCCAGAAGCATTGAGTGCCACCTATACAGTGCCAGAAGCATTGAGTGCCACCTATACAGTGCCAGAAGCATTGAGTGCCACCTATACAGTGCCAGAAGCATTGAGTGCCACCTAGTGCCACCTATACAGTGCCAGAAGCATTGAGTGCCACCTATACAGTGCCAGAAGCATTGAGTGCCACCTAGTACAGTGCCTGAAGTGCCACCTATACAGTGCCAGAAGCATTGAGTGCCACCTATACAGTGCCAGAAGCATTGAGTGCCACCTATACAGTGCCAGAAGCATTGAGTGCCACCTATACAGTGCCTGAAGCATTGAGTGCCACCTATACAGTGCCAGAAGCATTGAGTGCCACCTATACAGTGCCTGAAGCATTGAGTGCCACCTATACAGTGCCTGAAGCATTGAGTGCCACCTATACAGTGCCAGTGAAGCATTGAGTGCCACCTATACAGTGCCTGAAGCATTGAGTGCCACCTATACAGTGCCAGAAGCATTGAGTGCCACCTATACAGTGCCTGAAGCATTGAGTGCCACCTATACAGTGCCTGAAGCATTGAGTGTCACCTATACAGTGCCAGAAGCATTGAGTGTCACCTATACAGTGAAGCATTGAGTGCCACCTATACAGTGCCTGAAGCATTGAGTGTCATCTATACAATGCCAGAAACATTGAGTGTCACCTATACAGTGCCAGAAGCATTGAGTGCCACCTATACAGTGCCTGAAGCATTGAGTGTCACCTATACAGTGCCTGAAGCATTGAGTGCCACCTATACAGTGCCAGAAGCATTGAGTGCCACCTATACAGTGCCAGAAGCATTGAGTGCCACCTATACAGTGCTAGAAGCATTGAGTGCCACCTATACAGTGCCAGAAGCATTGAGTGCCACCTATACAGTGCCAGAAGCATTGAGTGCCACCTATACAGTGCCAGAAGCATTGAGTGCCACCTATACAGTGCCAGAAGCATTGAGTGCCACCTATACAGTGCCAGAAGCATTGAGTGCCACCTATACAGTGCCTGAAGCATTGAGTGCCACCTATACAGTGCCAGAAGCATTGAGTGCCACCTATACAGTGCCAGAAGCATTGAGTGCCACATATACAGTGCCAGAAGCATCTAGTTGCACCTACACAGTGCCAGAAGCATTGAGTGCCACCTACACAGTGCCAGAAGCATTGAGTGCCACATATACAGTGCCAGAAGCATTGAGTGCCACCTATACAGTGCCTGAAGCATTGAGTGCCACCTATACAGTGCCTGAAGCATTGAGTGCCACCTACACAGTGCCAGAAGCATTGAGTGCCACCTATACAGTGCCTGAAGCATTGAGTGCCACCTATACAGTGCCTGAAGCATTGAGTGGCACCTATACAGTGCCTGAAGCATTGAGTGCCACCTATACAGTGCCTGAAGCATTGAGTGCCACCTACACAGTGCCAGAAGCATTGAGTGCCACCTATACAGTGCCTGAAGCATTGAGTGCCACCTATACAGTGCCTGAAGCATTGAGTGCCACCTACACAGTGCCAGAAACATTGAGTGCCACATATACAGTGCCAGAAGCATTGAGTGCCACCTATACAGTGCCTGAAGCATTGAGTGCCACCTATACAGTGCCAGAAGCATTGAGTGCCACCTATACAGTGCCAGCATTGAGTACACAGTGCCTGAAGCATTGAGTGCCACCTATACAGTGCCTGAAGCATTGAGTGCCACCTATACAGTGCCTGAAGCATTGAGTGCCACCTATACAGTGCCTGAAGCATTGAGTGCCACCTGTACAGTGCCTGCATTGAGTGCCACCTATACAGTGCCTGAAGCATTGAGTGCCACCTACACAGTGCCAGAAGCATTGAGTGCCACCTATACAGTGCCTGAAGCATTGAGTGCCACCTATACAGTGCCTGAAGCATTGAGTGCCACCTATACAGTGCCAGAAGCATCTAGTGCCACCTATACAGTGCCTGAAGCATTGAGTGCCACCTATACAGTGCCTGAAGCATTGAGTGCCACCTATACAGTGCCTGAAGCATAATCCTTAAAAATGTGGTGACCTTTGGTAGTCATATATATATGTTCTGGACATTTTTGTTTTTCTTCCCAGGCGACATGGACGTCTGTGAATGGATTCAGAGAATTTCAGTGTCGCCCTGAACGCACTTTGGCTTTTTTGCTCGTCTTGCGCATCAATGTTGCGGGAAATTAATTGTAAGCGGATCTATGTTATTTTAAGCAATAAGGAGAGAGAGTTGTCCTGGATGTTGGTGTTTTACACTTAATGCACCTCAATTTTGACGTTATCGATAACAACGTCATTTAAATTTACAGAATCACAATATCGACGCTCCCTTGGACTAATGAACATCGGTATCGACTGGTAATGTGAGTTGCTTAGGTATGAGTGAGAATGGTATGAGTGAGAATGGTATGAGGCATTCGAAATGTTCTCAGGCAAAACAACTTGACGCTCCTCAATTGTGAAGACGTGCTGGGGTATGTAGTCCTTTTCACTCATCACGCCTCAGAGAACAGAAGAACGTCCTGCTCGTCTCAGGAACTCTTGTGTACTATCCTTATGGGAATAGTGAACTGTCAGGGTTGTGTGTGCTTGAGAAAGTTATGGACTTAAAATGTTATATAGTCAATCCCAGAGGTAGCTTTAAAATAGGATGCAAGATATGGTGTCACCTTGAGCTGTGAATGGAAACGTTAGTTTGGCGGCATTTGGGGAAAAAACTCTGAGAACTGCTAAGTTCACCATCACAATGTAAAATATATCCAAGCTGTTTTTTTCCTTATTCAGGAGTAGATTTAATTGATGTCCATTGGATTTACATCAACTTTGAACCCGGAAAATATTTACGAAAAAGAACACGGAAGTTAATAGCTAATAGGAAATTTATTATAGTTGTCAGTGTTTAGCTAGTAGCTATTGCCCGGGACTGTTGCTTATAGGGCGAAAATTATCAGATTATTAGTAGCTTCTGTTGTGTGTGGGGGGGGGGAGGGGGGGGGGGGGTAGGAGACTGAGTACACGATAAGGGTGGTTAAGCAGCCCATCCTCATAAGATTTCCCACCGTCAGGAAACGGTCGAACTAAAAAGCCCTTACCCTAACCTACGAGTGGGCGCAAAACAGAAAACGGGACAGTATGTCAATTTCAGGAGCCGCTACCATTTTCTAGTACGACAGTTTTTAGTAGAGGTAGAATATAAGTCACAATGTGACGTTGTATTAGGAGGACGAGTTGGGTTAAGGGTACACGACAAGGGGGGTGGAGGGTACACGACAAGGGTGGTGGAGGGTACACGACAAGGGTGGTGGAGGGTACACGACAAGGGTGGTGGAGGGTACACGACAAGGGTGGTGGAGGGTACACGACAAGGGTGGTGGAGGGTACACGACAAGTGTGGTGGAGGGTACACGACAAGTGTGGTGGAGGGTAAACGACAAGGGTGGTGGAGGGTACACGACAAGGGTGGTGGAGGGTACACGACAAGGGTGGTGGAGGGTACACGACAAGTGTGGTGGAGGGTACACGACAAGGGTGGTGGAGGGTACACGACAGAGGTGGTGGAGGGTACACGACAAGTGTGGTGGAGGGTACACGACAAGGGTGGTGGAGGGTACACGACAAGGGTGGTGGAGGGTACACGACAAGTGTGGTGGAGGGTACACGACAAGGGTGGTGGAGGGTACACGACAGAGGTGGTGGAGGGTACACGACAAGTGTGGTGGAGGGTACACGACAAGGGTGGTGGAGGGTACACGACAAGGGTGGTGGAGGGTACACGACAAGGGTGGTGGAGGGTACACGACAAGGGTGGTGGAGGGTACACGACAAGTGTGGTGGAGGGTACACGACAAGGGTGGTGGAGGGTACACGACAGAGGTGGTGGAGGGTACACGACAAGGGTGGTGGAGGGTACACGACAAGTGTGGTGGAGGGTACACGACAAGGGTGGTGGAGGGTACACGACAAGTGTGGTGGAGGGTACACGACAAGGGTGGTGGAGGGTACACGACAGAGGTGGTGGAGGGTACACGACAGAGGGTGGTGGAGGGTACACGACAAGTGTGGTGGAGGGTACACGACAAGGGTGGTGGAGGGTACACGACAAGGGTGGTGGAGGGTACACGACAAGTGTGGTGGAGGGTACACGACAAGGGTGGTGGAGGGTACACGACAAGTGTGGTGGAGGGTACACGACAAGGGTGGTGGAGGGTACACGACAAGGGTGGTGGAGGGTACACGACAAGTGTGGTGGAGGGTACACGACAAGGGTGGTGGAGGGTACACGACAAGTGTGGTGGAGGGTACACGACAAGGGTGGTGGAGGGTACACGACAAGGGTGGTGGAGGGTACACGACAAGTGTGGTGGAGGGTACACGACAAGGGTGGTGGAGGGTACACGACAAGTGTGGTGGAGGGTACACGACAAGGGTGGTGGAGGGTACACGACAAGTGTGGTGGAGGGTACACGACAAGGGTGATGGAGGGTACACAACAGAGGTGGTGGAGGGTACACAACAGAGGTGGTGGAGGGTACACAACAGAGGTGGTGGAGGGTACACAACAGAGGCTGGTGGGGGTACACAACAGAGGCTGGGGGGGTACACAACAGAGGCTGGGGGGGTACACAACAGAGGTGGAGGGTACACAACAGAGGCTGGTGGGGGTACACAACAGAGGCTGGGGAGGGTACACAACAGAGGGGTGGAGGGTACACAACAGAGGTGGTGGAGGGTTACACAACAGAGGCTGGTGGAGGGTTACACAACAGAGGTGGTGGAGGGTACACAACAGAGGTGGTGGAGGGTACACAACAGAGGTGGCGGAGGGTACACAACAGAGGTGGTGGAGGGTACACAACAGAGGTGGCGGAGGGTACACAACAGAGGTGGTGGAGGGTACACAACAGAGGTGGTGGAGGGTACACAACAGAGGTGGTGGAGGGTACACAACAGAGGTGGCGGAGGGTACACAACAGAGGTGGTGGAGGGTACACAACAGAGGTGGCGGAGGGTACACAACAGAGGCTGGGGAGGGTACACAACAGAGGTGGGGGGGGTACACAACAGAGGTGGTGGAGGTTACACAACAGAGGCTGGGGAGGGTACACAACAGAGGTGGTGGGGGGTACACAACAGAGGTGGGGGGGTACACAACAGAGGTGGTGGGGGGTACACAACAGAGGCTGGCGGAGGGTACACAACAGAGGCTGGTGGGGGTACACAACAGAGGCTGGGGGGGTACATAACAGAGGCTGGCGGAGGGTACACAACAGAGGCTGGGGAGGGTACACAACAGAGGTGGTGGGGGGTACACAACAGAGGCTGGTGGAGGGTTACACAACAGAGGCTGGGGGAGGGTTACACAACAGAGGCTGGCGGAGGGTTACACAACAGAGGCTGGTGGAGGGTACACTATGGTGTCAGAGGCTGGTGGATGGTACACAACAGAGGCTGGCGGGGGGTTACACAACAGAGGCTGGTGGAGGGTACACAACAGAGGCTGGCGGAGGGTACACAACAGAGGTGCTGGGGGGTTACACAACAGAGGCTGGCGGAGGGTTACACAACAGAGGTGGGGAGGTTACACAACAGAGGCTGGGGGGGTACACAACAGAGGCTGGGGGGTTACACAACAGA